GGCTACTGTAAATGGTATTGCTTTCTTTCTTTCCATCTCTGAGTTCTCTTTGTTACTATAGAAGAATCCTATTGATTTTTGGATATTGATCTTATATCCTGCCACTCTACTAAACTGGCCTATTAACTCTAACAGGTTTTTTGTTGAGTCATGGGGTTTTCTGTGTACACTAACGTATCATCTGCATATAGCGACAGCTTAACCATTTCTTTGCTGACCTGGATGCCTTTTATTCCCTTCTCTTGTCATACTGCCCTAGCAAGCACTTCCAATATAATACTGAAAAGAACTTGTGACAGTGGGCATCCTTGTCCGGTCCCTGTTTGCAAGGAAAATGTTTTTAGTCTTTCTCCATTGACAATGATGTTGGCCCTTGGTATAGCATATATACTTTTCACTATGCTGAGGGTCTTTATCAGGAAGGGTTATTGGTACATTTGGAACCAACATTTGGCAATACCATCTCAGACAAAAGTCTTATAACAAAAGCTTCAGAATACTCCTGGGCCTCCACAAGAAAAAGACTGATAACCCAATTACAAAATGGGCAAAAGACATGGAAAGAAGGAAGATATTTGAACGGCAGACAGACACATGAAGAAATGCTCCAAATCACTGGCAATAAGAGAGATGCAAATCAAAACCACAATGAGGAACCATCTCATTCCAGTAAGAGTGGCAAAGTTTAACAGGGCAGCAAGTAATAGATGCTGGAGAGGATGTGGTGAGAAAGGTACTCTTAAACATTGTTGGTCGGATTGTAAAATGGCACAACCATTCTGGAAGGCAGTTTGATGCTTCCTCAAAAAGCTGAACATACAAATTCCATATGACCCAGCTATTCCACTACTTAGAATATACCCTGAGAAGATGAGAACTGAGGCACAAACTGAGATTTGTACACCAATGTTCATTATTCACCATAACATTATTCACCATTGCAAGAACATGGAAACAGCCTAAATGTACAACCACAAACGAATGGATTTAGAAATTATGGTACATTCACACAATGAAATACTATGCAGCATGTAGGAGCAATAACTTTGTAAATTATTACCTAACTTGGGAGGGACTGGACAGCATTATGCTGAGTGAACTAACTTAGTCCCATGAGGATAAATATTGTATAAAACTGTTATTGTAGAATGAGTATAAGGATCCAGGAGGGGTGGGAGAGGCTGGAAACAGAGGGATGTGGATGTGCAGAGGTAGGGGGATTAATCATTGGGCTATACAATTTAATGGGTGGGGTGGATGAGGGAAATTGAAAGAATTTGTTCAAATTTATATTTGAATTTTGTAAATAAACTAGCAGAGAAAACAAGAAAAACTACCAAAAAAACCCTCCACTTCTTTGTAGATGAAAACTATAACTCAACTAAAATGAAAAGCATGCTGGTTGAGATTATCAGCTGAGCAGATACTGCAGAAGAAGAGAGTAAGGAATTTAAAAATATAGAAATTAAAACTACCCAGATGAAACACACAGAGAGAAAAGAATTAAAAAGAGGTAAATAAAGAGAGCATCAGTGAACTGCGGGACAACTTTAAGTGCCCAAGGATACACGTCATTGGAAGAGGGAGCAGAAAAAATATGTGAAGAAATAATAATTATGCAAACTTAGCAAAAGCTAAAACTCACATATCTAAGCATCTCAACAAATCTCAAGCAAAAAATTACAACACGGCACATCACAACAAAACTGCTCAAAGGCAGCAATAAAGAGAAAATCTTAAAAGCAACAAAGAAAAGGCCTGCATTACATACAGAGAAACAAAGATGAGGGGAAAACTTCCCATTAGAAAGAATGTGAGAAGACAGTAAAGCAACATCTTTAAAGTCCTAAAAACGGAAACAAAAAACTATCAATCTAGAATTGTATAACCAACAAAAAATATTTTTCAAAATTGAAGGCAAATAAAGATGGTTTTAGTCATGCAAAAGCTGAAAGACTTCATCATGGCAGATTCATTCCATAAAGAAATGCTTAAAACTCTCTCACATTCTTACATAGCTGACTGTCTTCAAGTCAGAAGTGACTCATAGCTGACGCTCCGTTAGGTTTCCAAGGCTGTAAATCACACATGAGAAGACTGCACATCTTTCTCCCACGGAGCTGCTAGTGGATTCAAACCACCAGAAAAGAGCATTGTTGGAGTTAGCAGCACAACTCCCTATGGACCAGGCTCCCAGGGCTCCAAGAAATGCTTAGACAGAACACCAGATGGAATCTGGCTCTGTACAAAGGAACAGAGGGCACCTGAAATGCTAATTATCCATTTTTACATGGATAAATAAGATTATTATTATGATGATTATATATTTATTATACATAGTACTACAGTACATTATTATATGTTGTTATGTGCCATTGAGTTGCTTGCAACTCATAGTGACCCTATGTACAACAGTCCTAAACCCTCCTCTATCCTGTGCCAATCACACTGTCTCTAACACACCCACTCCCATCACCGCGGTTACTGAATCAATCCCCCTCATTGAGGGTCTTCCTCTCCTGTGCTGTCCCTCCACCCTCCCAAGCATGATGTCCCTCTCCAAGGACTGGTCCCTCCTTGCAGCATGTCCAGATTATGTCAGATGAAGCTTCAGAATCCTTGCCTCCAAGCAGCAGCCTGGTTTAACCCTCTCTAGAATGAACCTGTTTGTTCTCCTAGCAGTCCATCATATATTCAATGCTCTTCTCCAGCACCACAGCTCAAAGGCAGCAATTCTCCTTTTATCATCCCTAGTCATTGTCCAGCTTTTTCTATTCTATTCTATTTACCTCTTCAAGAAGTAATTTACTATTTAAGAAAAAAATAACAATATATTGTGGGGTTTATTACATATACAATGTGCATTCTATGCAAACTGGACCTGAAGGGTTTTTTTTGTTTTGTTTTGTTTTTACCTGAAGGTATTTTTAAAAGCAGAAGATTCTAGATATCTTGTGTAAGGACAGTAAAGACCCTTTGTGGTAACTGCTGTTGGAGACAAGGTGAATGTCTAAGGTTTGGCTTGGGTTCTCTTGGATTGGTTTGCTTTTCTTTGTTTCTTGATTTTCATTTCATTGTTGTTGCTGTTGTTGTGTACCATCGAATCAGAACCCACCCATGGCTGATCTTCTGGTAGGTTTTCAGAGGCAGATTTAATCGCATGGGAGGAGACTGCCCATCTTTCTCTCACAGAGCGGCTGGCAGATTCGAACCATGTCCCTTAGGGGCTGCAATGCAGCTTCTTGCCGCTAGGCCACCAGGGCTCCCTTTCACCTCACTGCTGTTGTTAAGGAGCACTGGTGGCCTAGTGGCGCATTGTTCTTGTTGTTGTTAAGTACTGTCAAGTCATAGACAACTCATAGCAACTCTATGAATGAAAGATCTGAACACCTGTATAACTTTCATCCTTTCTCCAAGTTCAAGGAATTGCTGGAGGCAAGCTATTTCAGAAGTGGATGCCACTCATGCTTCCAAGCTTGTTCTAATCGGGAAGCTCCACCAAACACTGCCTGCCATTATCGCATTTGGCACATCAGGGACACAGTGCTCAGCATCACAGCAAACACGAGTTACCTCTGTACAGCAAATGGACAGACCAGTGCTATGCCTCTTAGAAGAATGTTTAACCAAAAACAATGAGGATAGTGGCACATTAGTCAGTGTCATATCCAGTGATTTCCCATTATATGGTAAGAAAACACAAACTAAGGCCTCCAAGCTCTGCAGGAGCTGGGCCCTGCCTTCCTTTTCCACCTCATCTCCTGCCTCTCTGCCCCTCGATCACCGGGCTCCAGGCCACAACGGCCTTCCATTGACTCTTAGGCCACTCGAAGCGTTTTACCCAGTCCTGCACCGCTCCTCACAACCACCACCTTCAGATGACCTACCTCCCCACCTATCACAGCCACTTGCTCCAGTACTCTTTACTAAAGGACCATGGTTCAATTTCCACAGCAGGCACTACAACCCATAATACTTTTTTTTGTTTTACTCATTTGTCTGTCTGTCTTCCCTCCCAGAATGCCTACCCTGGCCCCTGAAGTATCCTCAGCATCTAGCACAGTTCACCTACCATTGGAACCTCCTTTCTCTTGCCATGTGTCAGAGCGGACGGATAAATGAGCCATCAGCAGGGTTTTAGAAGCTCTAAATCACACAGGAGCAGCTGCTGGACCTGCCCCGCATGCTGCCAGAAAGGCATCACCTCTGGCTTAGCAGAACCACAACCTGTGGTCTAGGCCACCGGAGTTCCCAACTGCTTAGCTAGACCCTCAGTAAGTGCTTGTCCAGTAACTCTAATTCCACGTGTCACTTTTTAAGAGGATAACAGCAAACTCCAGTTACTGGAGAGAGAACAACTTGAGTGAAAAGGGAGTGTCTCCAAAGGTATTTTGAAATGATGACTCAATATTTCATAGGGAAAAAAAATCTAAATTGGAAATATGATCATTCAATCAAATAAATCTCCTGCTTTTCTTTTATTCATTTACCAGCTCTACAATAAAATATGGTTCTGCGGAAATAAGTCTCAAAAGATGAGAACTCGAACACTCAAATATTTATGTCTTACAAAGGAGATTCCAAGGAGAAACTCTGGATCTCTCCATATTCTAGGGGAAAGTCTCTTCCTCTGCTGAACTACACATGACTATCTTTGCATGTCAGTATATTTAACCAGAATAAATACATCTACAGCAGAAGAATGCTGGATGGATGGCTAATCACCATTACATTCTAAAAATAAAATGTGCTAAATCTACTATGGTACTTAAAATGAACATTTTCACATAATAAAAATGCTGACAGCAGAAATAAAGCATTTAGCTTAAGAGGCAGAAAAAGCAAATAAGTCATTGTACTTTTTAGAAAGACAAAATCTTCAACAATTTTATGAAAACCATAGCAAATTGCTTTTGGAAAAATTATGATTGCATAAAAGAGGACAGGAGAGAAGTCAATCTAAGCATTTGTAGAAAAATAATCACAGCTACTTAACGTACCACAGTCTGACGGCATGGGTGCTGCAGAAATGGAGAAGGTAACTGGTGTTTCAGAACCTGAAAATAAAAATGGGTATCTTCCAATCAAAGAATTTCCTTCTAACGAAAGATCCGGAAGATCCTCTATGGTCATCTTCTAGAAAGCCACCTTCAGTAAAGAAAGCAACAACAAAAACATTTTATTTGCATACAATTGTAAATAATTACCTTCAATCAGAAATTCCTATTCTGCCATTAGCTAACCTATTGAAATTTCAACTTAAATGTTTAAGAGTCTCTTTTTTATTACCAGAGATTGGGGGTATGGGGGGAGGGCAGCTGGAAATCCTTATTTTAGCAAACTATTTTTTAAAACAATATATAATGTATAATGCTCAACAATACCTCTGTACAATTCAGCTACCTATTTCCCAATCTGAGGGGAAAGCATTTATAAAGCGAATCTAAATGAGTGACATTCCTTTATTCACAGTAACAAACAGGCTCATATTATCCCTTGACGAGAAGCCTTTAATTTCTCAAAGATGTTGACATCCTCTGTCATTCAGTAGCTCTTGCCATGTGCTCATCTCATAAGCACAATCTAATTTAGACTTTCTCCCATTATTTTCTGATACTCCAGGAGATTTAACTGAAAATTAATCCTGTCACACCTTCAAATCTAACGATTTACTGACATTGCTCCACTCCTCAGTGAACAATGAACAAGGATATGTTTGCATATTTTCCTAGAAGAAAATGAGAGATCACAAGTTTGAGGGAAATTTTCTCTGAATTTATTTTCAGAAATAACATAGAAAATAGAGGAAATACTAAGTAGAACTGAACTGTAAAGCTCTAACTTTTCTGGTTTCTGGCACTTCAAATCTTCAAAGTCTGAAATGTTATGAATACCATCCCTGGATATTTTTCCCCCATCCCTGATTTTAAATAGATCTTATTCTAAAGCAAATTTATTCTTAGCATGGATGTTTTCTGGGGTAAAGGAGATCAGTTAAGCCATTACAAGATGAACTGACATTGATGTAAAAAATGGGCTTAAGCCCATCAGAGAGATTGGAGATGGTACAGGGCAGGTCCAGACCTGTGGTTCAAAGTCAACGTAATGGCACCAAACAACAATGACAGTTTAAAAGACACGGCTTCCTCCTATCTTCTGCCAGGAAAAAAATAAACATACACTTGTAAACTTTTGAGATGGAAAGCAATGTCAGTTAGTAGAAACCATTTTTCTATTGTTTCAGTATAAAAAAGTAGAGTGAGTACAAATCTGTAACTGATAGCTTTTTCTGGAAGCGGATAAGGCCTCTCTGAGCTAACTGCTTTCCATTCTGAGTCATATGTTTTCTCAAGACTAGCAGGGACTAGTAGAGAACAGAATGCTTTCTTTTCTCTCCTAAGGTATATGCTTATATGAAGCAGATAATATAAATGACTTTTCCAGTGTTACGTCAGAAGTACACTTTCCTGGATGCTAAAATGACTTGCTACCCAATACTCTGAATCATTGTGACACTAATTTCAACTATTATTTATAGGAAGGCGACAGGGACAAGAAATTGGTATTACACAGCAGAGTCAACCTTCCTCAAAGGCCAAGTCCCTGTCAGTTCCAAAACATAGCACGTCACAAAGACAGCCCTCCTTTAACACTATAGCTTCCCTACATTGGGGTTCCTTCCTGCTGACCTCCACTTGAAGGAGGCAAAAATATTCTTTGAAGCTTCAGCTTCTTGAAGTTGAAGTCAGGGAGCAGAAAGAAAACTGGTTATTCCATTAAGGAACCACTGTGCACCAAGCACTGAGGAGTTTTGTGGATTACAAAAACAAGTAACAGGCAAGTCCACACTTGTTAGATTATAATCTACAAGAGTGAGTAGCGTTGTACTGATGATTACAGAGATGAGACAGAATGGCACATGTTCAAAAGCATAAGGACCAGGACATCTGCTGTGTGATCTCTGGAGAACTAGAAATGGCTCAGTAAAGAAGGCATCCCCGAGACGAGCCTTGTAAAACGGGCAGGCAGAAATGTAAAAAAAGCGTACGTGAGAGCAGGCTGTAACGTGAGGTACGTGTAGGAGAGCAGTGAGGAGCGAAGGCAATCCTCCTTTCCTAGGGAAATACCGAAAAGTGCTTTAATTATCAAAGCAAAGAACTAACTGGGCCCTTCATTCCAAAATCACTGCAAAGTACTGATTTTCAGAAGGGGGTGTGGCATGATCCAAGCTGAGTGTGAGGGGCACTGATCTGATTACCATCCCACTCTGACTCAGTCCTTTTTATATTCTTCATTCTTCAGCAAAGTGACTGACTGAGTAGTTCTCTCTGAATCCATTAAGAGAAGCTACCAGATGCCTACACTAGGAAAAAAAAAAGGGAAAAAAAAGGATTTCTCCTTCAAAAATATTTCAAGTTATCCACACAGCACTCTTTATTTCCTTATAAATAGCCAAGATCCTTAAGGGCGAAGAACGCTCCCTTGCACCGCCCACTTTCCATAGAATAGTGACTAGATACAAATGTAATATTTGGATCCTAGATGCAAGGTAAAAGAGAACACATTTAATAAAATCTAATCAACCTCACTGTCTTACCCACTAGAAATGTGAAGCCTGGAGCAGTGACATTTCCTGATGAATATAATGAGCATTCTTTCCATTTTGTGCCTTCTTGCCTTACATTTTCCCCAGTCTCATTTCTTTTCCTCTTTGTAAAACTCAATATCTAAATAACCAACATTTTGCCCCACCAAAGAAAACTATACGTAGCCCCAGAGATTTGTAAATAATCTTGGAATTCTTCCCTAAAGGCAATCTCTGGGTCTGAAGACCTCAGATGTACGGTTGTCTTGGTCAAACTCAGAGACATACAGATCTAGTTTGGATACATACCTTCATTCCAGATTCTGGCAATAATTAATGACATAAAGTAAGCCTAAAGCAAAAAAGCAACTCTAATCATTATGAACAAAAACATGCCTTACGGTTAAAATAGTTAAAAGATGACCTATAGGAGAGCTCTGGTGGCCTAGTTGCAAGAAGCTGCACTGCAATCCTCAAGGCGTGCAGTTCAAGGCCACCAGCTGCTCCGTGGGAGAATGATGGGTAACCTCCTTCCATGCAATTAACTGTCTCTGAAAACCCACCAAAGGGTCAGCTATGAGTAGGTTCAGACTTGACGGTACACAACACAACATGGTTAAAATAGCTGAGAATCAGCTCTGTCAAACTTCAATTTCTATGGGGAATTCCATCATGCCCCATCACCCTAAATGAGCTCTGAGTATTATTAATGCATTTCCTAACAAGACTCTAATATCACGCAATTTTTCACAGATTCCTGGCTAATGCACTAACACAAGAACAGAAATGCACACCAACTGCTAGTCAGTTCAGGGACCAGGGATGCTCACTGTAGCCAAGAGAGTCCCTCAGAATAACTAAGACGAAACCTGCTTCAAGACAGCATCCTTGAGCTGCCCCGCAAACAGGAGTTCTAAGCTATGTCCATGAGTCTAGGCACTATGGCTGTGTCCAGCTGCTAAACATTAGTGGTTTGAATTTACCAGGCACTTTGCAGGGATGAAGACCTGGTGATCTGCCTTCATAATGAATCAGTCAGTCAGGTTAGGAAGTGCTGTGGACAATTCCACTCTACCATATATGGATATTATCAATCAGAAACCACTCAGGTATACACAGTAACCACCAAATTGTGCCCGCCTAAGCTGGAATCATGAGGGCCCTTCATACAGTTCTTTATCATGAATACTTTCATGAGATTCAGAAAAGAAGTAATCTAACCAAAATAGGTGTTTAAACACACATCCAGTAATCTGTTTACTTACTACCTACATGAAAACTACTCAGTCGCTGAACACTTAACAGCATTTGATGTTTGGTCAGCTCTAAGCCCTAAAGAGAATATTAAAGGTAAGGGATGTTCATTTACTCATTTAACAATTATTGAGAAAGTCTTACTAAGTCTTGGGCTGTCAATAGTAAAGCGGGGGGGGGGTGTAATAAAAAATACACAAAAGGAAAATAGACCTCTGTCCTCATGCCAATTACAGACCAAAGAAGAATCGAAGTCTTTGAATTATGGGGTTAAAGAGCACTGAAAATCCCATGCACGGACAAAAGAACAAAGGAATCTGTCCTGCAGGGAGTGCAAATAGGGTGCTCCTTACAGGCAGAGATGGAGCATCATCGCACATACTTTGGGGATGTTATCAAGGAGGGGCTAGTCCTTGGAACAAGACTGGGAAAGTAGAGGGTTGCCAAAGGAGAGGATGGCTCCCAAGAAAATGGATTAACACACTCACAATATCAATGGGTGGGTTTAGGAATGTTCGTGAGGGTAACACAGGATAAGGCAAGGTTCCAATCTGTTGTTTATAGGGTGACTAAGGGTCATCATAGTCAGCTGCAGGGAACCTAACACCATCTCCACTAAACAAACAGACAATTAAAAAGGTGCAATTATCATGTATTTGTGCTAAGTGCTGTGACAGGGGCATGCTCTCAGAGCCTGAGGAGGTGCACCAAGGGGTGACAGGTGGCTACTCAAATTGAGAACCAGTTTCTCCATTGCTCAGTTGTGACCCACAGCTGTCTAGCGCTATAAAATGCTCAACAGGAACACACACTTAGTGAAGTACACTGAAAGAGCAAAAAGAGCACTCCTCCACCAAAATCCTACTTAACAAGGCTAAGGAAAAACAGGGCCATTCACGTATTAGGTAAAAAAACAGCATACACATTATTTGAAACAAGATTCTTGTAAATACAGGCTAATAGACTAAGTCCATTGCAGGCTGTTGTTGCGTGCAGTCAAGTAAATAAATAACAACTCAAAGAGATCCTACATGACAGAGTAGAACGACCTCATCAAGTTTCCAAACGTCTGTAAATCTTTGCAGAAGCAGAGTGAAAATCTTTCTCTCATGTCATAGCTAACAGATCTGAGGAGCCTAGCTTTCTGTTGGTATCCAAGTGCTTTAACTGTGGCACCACCAGTATAACTACTACAGTGAATGTGTACTGTATGTGGTATATACCATGTGTTAAGGCTTCTAGAAACTATAAAGATACATTCTGTGCATTTCAAAAGCAATCTTATAATCCAGGT